CCTACGCCTCTATGGCTCTTTCGTTCACGGATGATGCTTGCATCAACATTCCGGTTCCGGTAGAGAAAAATGGCGGGTTTGGGAATCTATGGTTGAATCCCGCGCGTTCTCTCCGTTCTCTCCCGATCCTTTCCCCCTCTCCATGGTACACTGGGAAGCGAAGTGGGTCGGGCTTATACCTCCGCTAGCTGGTCCTTCCTGCGGGCTACCATGGCGCCTGCCAAAGGTGAGCGAAAGACACCGCTGCTTTCCCTTTTCCACACTACTCACTCCTCCAAAGAGAAACAGATCCTGGAGGTGGTCTGCTTCTCTCATACCCTCATTCCCCTTGCAGTAAGAAAGAAGCCATTTGTTTAGCTGAGGTGCGGGGGGAGAGGCTGGAAAGGAAGTTCCCGAAATCAGATGCTTTCGATAAAGAAGCAGCAATCTGGGAGAACGGGGAAAAGAAACACACGTGTGTGGTTGGCTGAGTTTCTACTCCTTAGTGTGTAGAGTGTTGCTATCGTGGAATAACGGAACAGTTATAGAACACGCAGAATATTCATTCTCCGTTGTCTGTCGAATAAGAGGAAGATGATGAGTTTTACTAGATGAAGACCACGAGGACTGCTTCGCACCAGCCCCACTGTAATCCTGTTCTAGGTTGGGGTGTTGATTAAGGCGGGGGGGGGGGAAGTAACATTCCCTCCTGATTTTGGCAAAGACTGAAAATGGTTTTCTCTGTTGGGATCCTGAGTCTTCACCTATTTATTTAGTGGAAACGTTGCTAATCCTGATGTGACTACTTAAGTAGAAGGCTGCCTTTCAGCCTGCCTTTTCATACAAGGAGACTGAACGTTTGCCATGTGTGATGCTGTGATATTGCTCCCCTTTCCCCCTTTCTGGTCCCAGTACAATAATCTAGACATTGATCCAGCTGATCTGGCTCCAGGTAGGTGTGTTGTTCAGATGAGAAAAAAAGACATGAGTATAGGTATCTCATGTTAGAAAATCAGGACACAGATGTATGTGGATGTGAAAAATTTAATGTGAGAAGCATTTCTTTAACATAATATGCCATAATCATTTTCTCCAATTGTTGAAGACTTGGATAAAAATGTAAGTTTCATGGGCTCATTGCTGTGGGCTATGGAAACATTTACACTAGTCTATGCAGATATTTGAGCTGCAATGTTGTTAACTATATTACAACACTTTACAAGCTCAAATGGTAAAAAGCACAATTCTAAAATTGTTTTTAAGATTTGGAGTTGTAAAATGTGTAGAAATGGGGCACTTTTTTGGACAGTTCTGTTGCTTTTCCATGGCAAAGTTGGAGGATGCATAACATTTCTTGGTAAAGTGGTGAGCACTATTTGGAATGAATTTGCTCTTCCTGATGTTGTACTTGGAATATATCACCGAAAAAGACCTGTATTTCAAGAATGAATGAGATTTTGTCTCTACCAGGATGTAGTTTGTTTACTTGATTGCAACATGCCAATGTAGAAACTGTACCTTACAGGAATGTTTACACAATGGAATGTGTAGTTCAATAAAGGAGTGAAGATGTAAATAATAGGAGCCAGAGATTCATAACTATCAGATTAGTGGTATAATAATCTATGTATGCAGCGTTAAATTAACAGAAAAATGTGTATAAAGCAAATCACTTGTCTGAGGCAAAATGCACCTCCCTGACAGCTGAATATTAGGAGTATTCAGTTTCATTCTCCAGCCCTTATTAACAACCTGCCGATCCTGCCATGTTTGCTCTTGATAAGAAGAAATGACAGCAACTCAAACACCCCCCCCCCCAGCACTGGCAATAAGTTGCTCCAGCCAAACAGGTAGAGAGCTGTATTATTGTAGAACTGTATCTCAAATAAGATGTCATTGTGGCTGTTTTGCATCATCTTTAGATGCTTCCTAGTGAGGTATGTTCTTGCTCCAGGCTGGTTGTGCTGTTTGGAATTTAAACAGCTGAAAGCCACTGTGGACACACATACACCATGCATTGGTAAAGATTCCCATTGGGCCCACATCAACATACCACCCAGGCCCAACCCAAATACCATATAAAAAGGTTGCATGACTTGCCTTGCTCAATGGGATCTTGGGGTGACCAGACCCCCAGAATTTTGCATCCTAATCCCCCCCACCCTGTGACCCTGAATATAGAGGGCAGCAGTTTGAAAGCATGCTTGTTTTCTAAAGTCAAGATGACAAATCAGTTGTAGTACTGCCACTATATTGTCAAGGTGGTTTGGGGTCTCCTGTCTTACAGTGAAGTGGTTTTGTTTTGTTTTTTTCAGAAAATGTCAGTTTGCTTTTAAAACTGTACTACTTGATGGTGATGACCTTGGTGGCTGCAACCTACACAATAGCTTTGCGGTACACAAGAACAACAGGAACAGTTCTATACTTTTCGAGCACAGCTGTGTGTATCGCAGAAGTTATCAAGCTATTTCTAAGTTTGGGCATTTTAGCAAAGTAAGTAATGTAAGTGCTGGTTGGCAGATTGGAATAGTGTAATTGCTCATTTTAGTATCATTTACATATCTTTCTTTTAAAATTTTCACTCATATTCTAAACTCATATTTCACTCATATTCCAATAAATATTTTTATTTTTCCTTGGAGTATTTAGTTAGGCTTCAGTTTTATTTTTTTCCTGTGGGCATACAGTATCCCCCCCCCCAAAAAAAGCCAACAACAAATACTTCTATGAAAAGTTCTGTTAAAGTGCATGAGAAAACAGGCATGTTTTAGATTTCTTTTCTAAATCTTGCCTCTGAGCAGCTAAATAAGTGGGTGTAGTAGTCTGAATTATTCTTGTTGAATGTGATTTGGATAAAGTTCAAGATGTCACTATGAATTAAGTTCCATTCAGATTCCTAACTTGAAGTTATAAGGGTTGATCTGAGCACATAGTCCTCAGAGTTAGTCAAGAAAAACCTGCATTTTCATGCTGGAGAACAGAAAGCTCTAAACAGTGAACTTTAAGGATTGAGAGTACACAGAAAAAGAAAAGCTGGGCTGCTTTCCTTTGAACTTGCACATGACACAAGATACTCAGGGAATCTGACAGTGCCATCCTAAGCACTGTAATACGCTTCTACGTCCATTGAAGGCATTGGGCTCTGAAGTCTGTAACTTTGCTTAGGATGGCACTGTGAATTACTTATAGATCACTATAGCTCTCTGAAACATGTTAGTTGTTTCAGATATCGTTTTCTTGATAGGAAGTTGCAGTTTGTCCCTGTATGAAATAGACCTGGCTTATCTGTCTCATACCAGGCTGTATGCCAATAAAAGGTATTTGAATTGAATTGTCTCATACCAGGCAAGTTGCTCCTTCCCTATCTCTTTATACTCTCCGTTGTTCCAAGATGGCAACCTACCCAGACAACTTCCATATTTTGAGCAAATCTCTAAGGTGCAGGCTAACTTTTTACATAAACCCAATTGTCTGTTCTCCTGGCATATAAATTACAGTATGACCTAATACACTGACATTTTGGGCTTTGTATGCCTAAATTTAATTTCAGATATTCATTCTGATAAAAAAATGCACACTTCTCCACATGTGCTTATTTCATCACGGATTTTAGTTTCCTAGAGAGTTCTGTACATCCACTGGGGATGCACATGTTGGAGTTCCTAAGCGTACAGAAAATTCCAGGATTGGTTTGTTTGGATAAACAGCCAATGGCTTTAGTCCTACGCAGACACAGTCCTTCACTGTAATTTGTTTTTTTAACCATAGTGAAATATTATGTCTGAATACCTAATTCATGGCTAAACACCGATCAGTAACCAGGATATGAAACCATGGCTTTCAGTGGGCTTGCAAATCAGGGTTCCACTAATCATCATTAAGCACTACAAACTGACAGCCAGTTTGGTGTAGTGGTTAAGAGCGGCGGACTCTAATCTGGAGAACCAGTTTTGGTGACCTTGGGTCAGTCACAGTTCTCTCAGAGCTGTTCTCTCAGAACTCTCTTAGCCCTGCCTACCTCACAGGGTGTCTGTTGTGGGGAGGGGAAGGAGATTGTAAGCTGCTCTGAGACTCCGAGTGAAGGGTGGGGAATAAATCCAACTCTTCTTCTTCTGCATCTATGCTGAATGAATAATGGTTAAGCATTGTGTTTAGACTGAGAAAACAAGGCAGCTTCCCTAACTCTTTAGCCTATGTGCTAGTAAGCGGAAAAACAGGCCCTGCAGGCACACTCAGGGTAACAAAGATGGCCACTGTTGGGCTGGCTAATGTCTTGCTGTCAGGTGAAGAGTTTAGTGCACCCTTACTAGGAAAACCAGCAAGGCTGTTTCCCCCCCACCAATGGTGGTTTCTAATTTCCCTTGCCAAGAAGGCCTCTGGATTGGCACAGGGCAGTTAATGGATGTTAGCAATGGTTTATGAAAACTTATTTCGAACTACTGGCATGCAGCTAGGGATCAATTTAGGCAGGCATTTTTCCTGGAAGATTCTTAGAATAGGCCCCTATGTAGGACTATTTCTGGAAAATCTTGGTTCTACAGTACTTAACTGTCAATAAGCAGCTATAGTAATATTTGTACTCAAATCTTTGTTATTTTTCAGAGAGACTGGAAGCCTGAGTAAATTGTTAACTTCTTTAAGAGAAAATGTGTTGGGCAGTCCTAAAGAACTATTCAAATTAAGCGTTCCATCTGTTGTGTATGCCATTCAGAACAACATGGCTTTTCTGGCTCTTAGCAATTTGGATGCAGCGGTTTACCAGGTAATTGTGGATGTTAGGAAGTAACCTGCGGAATCCCTTATGGGTAGCTATAAAGATGAGTTCACACACATTAAAAACAGAGTGTTTCCACAGACAGAAGGGATATCCATCAATGGAGCACAACTCCCCCTCCCCTCCTGCTGCAGCCCAAACAAAATGCTACTCCTGGGAGACATCAGGGCTGCAGTGGAAGCAAGAAGGTCGTACTCTGTGGCTGGAAATTCTTCTGTTAGGTCCAAGCCCATGGTTACAGCATTGATTAGACAGAGCTGCAGATTGGATGGCATCACCTTGAACATGGTACTTTCAGTGTCAGCAGTTTACACCACCGACCAGCAAATCATGACAGGGAAACATCATCCGTGATGCATCGCTAAAAAACAGGGCTTTCTTGTAAGTTGTGAATGCTCTCAAGACAAGGGCTTCAGTGGTGAAGTTGACAAGTAAAAGCTGACATTTGGCAATGAGATGCTAGAGTATGCTTACCCCAAGAGACTTTAATAGACCATCTTTCAAAAGGTGATAGAATTTGCCAAATCTTTTGGTTATTGCTCTGAAGAAGCCTCAGGCTCAGCAACTAACCCATGGCCAGGTTAAAGCTTTGTTACATGCAGGTGCATTGAGAGTAATCCACCTAGCTTCATATGGTTATTCCAGATACTAATATGTAGGCCAGATAAGCAAACATCTCCTGGGAATGCATGAAGTAGAATTGACATTTTTGGCTTTAAATGATCGCTTATACCGTTCTGCTTTGAATGCCCTTTTCCCAATTGAATAAAATTGTGCCCCTTTTCTCCATCAGGTCACCTATCAGTTGA